TTGTAATATTCCTGACTCCTTAGCTTAGGACTATCTCCTTTGCTTTCTACCTTGTTGTTCAGCCCATACACAGCTGAAGTGCAGACTTGGCTCTGGCTGTTCCTCACAGGAGACATCTCCCTCCAGATACTGGTTTTCTGGCTATCTCAGTGAATGTAGTAGCTCCTCAATCCTGTTGTGGTGGTCTCTGGCCTCCATGTGCCCAGGGCAGGTGTTTCTCTGTTCTTGAGGGACTCCAGCATGATCACAGACTGGTCCTCAAAAGCCAGTTGGCCAGGCAGTGGTAGCTCACACCCATAATCCTAGCTACCCAGGAGACTCAGACCTAAGGTATGAGGCTGAGGAAATCTCAGGCAGACAAAACCAATTAATCAGCAAAAAAGCTGGAAATGGGGTTGTGTTTGGTTAAATTGGTAGAATGTCAGCCTTTAGTGAAAAAGCTAAGCAAAAGTACAGGTCCTGACTTTAGCATGAGTATGTGTGCGTGCACATGCACACACAGAGACACAGAGCTCAATGGTAAAGGACTTGGAGTTTGGGGATCCTGATTGCCATCATCTTTTGTGGCTCTCCCCCAAGGTCTTTTGCGTGTTGCCCCTACGGGGGTTGAGTACAGCGCTTACCTCTGTGAAGTCACTGCACTTGCCTAAGTCTGCCCAGTGCCTCTCCAGTGCTCAGGCTGCAGCCCTGTCTTGAATCCTCTGCTTGAGGTCTATATTACCCTTTCCCACATTCCCATTTCTCAGAGCTCTGTGGGGTCTCCTGCATGCTGGACCCAGGTTTAATGGGTGCACACAGGTGAACAAATAATGAGTGATGGACTTCCATGGTGATGGAAACTTCTGGCAGCACTGAGTGATGACACAGAGCTGTCCAGGAGGCCCTGCCGGGACTACAGCAAGAACACAACCGCTCAACCAAGCCCACCAGCTGCCCCTGCTCCTGTGTGTGAGCAGGAATGTACAGGACTCAGCCCAGTGAAGGTTTATTACATGCACATACATTCAGACTTGTACACTGCTCTGTACACATATGCCATCTACAGGAGATGACATCTCCCTGTGCTGGCTCTTGGTTTTATCACCTGTCTGGAATTTTCTCTTCTCTGGATTCTGCTAAGCTATCCTCCCTACCTGCAGCTCTTCCAGGTTGCCCCAAGCCTTTTCCTTTGCCAGAGAAGAGGGCTAGGATGTGTGGTTTTCCCTTCACCTATAGGCTGCGTAGGCACAACCTGAAAGGTTGCACCTTCCCGGCCTTGCCCAGGCCTGTCAAGAATGGTGGGTGAGATGGCTCAGTCTCTGCAAAGAAGGACTAGTGGAAAGGTGGCTAGGTCTATGTGCAGTGTGGTCATTGGGTTTTTGTACCTAAAAGAATATGGCTCTTCTGTTCCAGTGAAAGGCCTTCCAGACTGGCCCTAAGACACAAAAAAAGCTCAGCAGTGGAGGCCTTGCTAAGACAAAATTCCTGAACTACCATAGGCACCTGTTCTCATTCCCTGTCCCAGACTCCTGAGGTGTAAGAGGTGAGGCTGAGGGTTGGTTTTATATGAATGGATTGGGAACAACAGTGTGGGTCCCTCCCAGCCCCAGTGTTGGTCTTGTTGGGTTTATGTGTCAGACTCCAGGGACACTACTCCTAGGCTCCAAGTTCTCTCCCTCCCAGGACTCTTAGAACTTTCTGGGAGTGAGGCTGACCAGTTCCTGCATCTCTGCTTGCTCTGCTTACCTCATGGTGATTGTCTATAGCCCCTGCTGCCTTGTGCCAGGCTGGGCCTATCTATCATCATGAATGGGGATGGTGATGGAGGAGGGGCCTTGTTAGGAACCTCAGTGGTTTTGAATGTCAGGGTCTGGGACAAGTGACTCTAGGCACCTCCCCCCCCCCCCCCACCTTTCTGGCAGAATTGGGGATTGAATTTAGGACCTCATGTTTATTAGGCGGGTGCTCTACCACTTGAGCCATCTTCCATTCCTTTCTGGTCTTAGTCTCTTTTACAGATAGGGTCTCTCACCACTTTTTCAATATAGAGCTAGACTACAATCATTCTGCCTTCCCTTCTGAATATTAAGATAACAGGTATGACCCACCATGCCCAGTAACAACTCTGTACTTCTGTGCCTTGGTTTCCCATCTAGAAAACCACTGCCTAGCTTGACCTTGGAATTGTTTCCCAGCTTGATGGTTGCCTTTCTTCATCACCTCACCATACCAACTCATTTCTACTCCCTTAGCTTCCTCATGTTGGAACTGACAGGGCTAGGATAGGCAACCAGCTCTTTCTGCCTGGGGCAAGCAGCCTTGCCAACTGTTCACCACATGCATGGGGACCCCCCACACCCATGCACTGGCTTACGTAGTTTCAGAGGCTCCTAGCCATCAGCAACTTTCTTAATCTGTGAGAATGTCCTGGAACACTCCCCTCGTTGGCATTAATTACATGACAAACAAATTTTATTGCTTACAAACAGGACTGTTCTGTACCCAAGGAGAAGCACTCAATGGAAAATGTCATTTTGTTTTGTACTTCCTGAGCAAGCCTTTAAGGCTCCATCGGCACAGCCTGGGTGCCTGTTTGCACGGCGATTAATCGCCAGCATTCACTTGAGTGGAAACCAGGCGAACTTTACCACAAGTGGAATTAGTCATTAAAAAGTCATTACCAAATCACCCAGCACAGTGCCTGCTCTTCCTCTAATGACAAAACCATTTCTTGAAAAGGTACAAACAGCAAACTTCTTGTTTTAGATTTTTCTTCTGTGCCAGCTGTTGCTAGCCTGGAGATGTAATAGAGGAGAAGCCTAGTGAAGGGCAGCATTTTGGAGATTTATTGATCAATAAAGGAGACAATTACTGCTTGTTTATGAAAGGAAATCCCCCGCCCCGGCCTCTCACGGCATTGACGCTCTGGTAATGATAACTCCGGTAACCAGCTTGAAACGATAAAAGTCAATGGGAAGATATAGGATTTCAATAAAATTATGACACTCCATAAACCTTCCATGGAAACAAATTTTCCCCAGATATGTGGCCAGTTGCAGTTGGATTTGTAACTTTAATTTCTCACTTATTGAATTTTTTGTCATCAACTAATTGTGAAGTCCATGCTGGGGTGACAACTGTGTCCCTGGCTCTGGAGAGAAAAGAGCACAAACCTAGTAGCCAGAGGCTGTGCATGTGATGGGCTCAGGAGAGGGCTGGTAGGGCTTCTCAGTATCCCTGCAATTCTCACTGTCACTCACAAGTGAAGGGACACTTGAGAAGCTGAAGCAGAGGTGTGGGATAGTTGATGTGGTCACTGAGCCTTTAGGCTGGTCTGTCCTGGGGAATACCATTGGGCCCCAACATGTAGACACAGAGAATGCTGCATGGGGAGGGACTTTGACAGTTAGGTTGGGGGGGGGACGGTACTCCAGGTGGTCTGAGATGCAGGTTTCCTTTGGGCCATGATTTACCCTTTGAGCCAGTGCTGGTGCAGGCAAACTGCGGCTCTCACCTGGGCCACTGCTGGCCAAGGACACCACAAGGTCTGCCAGAGCTGGTTCTTACCTTTTCCCAAGCTCCTTGCTTAGAATGTTTGTGTTGGGGAGAGTGTGTAGGGCTGCCTATAGCCCACTAGTACCTGCCAGCATGGGCAACGTTGTCATTCTATGTGTACAACAGCAAGACAACCAGTTGCTTCTAGGGCTGCTTGCTGGATGCTGTCTGGACAGTCACTGATCTGCACAGCTGTTATGTGACACTCCTCTTACTCCTGGAGGACCTGAGATATGAGGGGATTAGATAGCTCACCTCTGTAAAACTGAAATTTGATTCAGGGTCTCACAAGCACTGCCCCCCAGAATACCTACTGCTAGCCTCTTGAATAGCAGAGCCCAGGCAGAGACACTAAGCACACCAGTGGCACATCTGTGGGGCCATTCATGTGTGTAGGAAGCAAAGAAGCCAAACCCATACCCCTAGGCCTCTGGAGGAAGCTTCACTGGCCCCAGCTGGGTCGTCCCCTGAGCTTAGGAGCTGACAGAGCAACTGAGGGGTCCCTGGCCTGAGTCTTCTGGGGTGGGTTCCCTCTACCTGGTGCAGTAGAACCCAGTGAGCATGTGATTTGAGGTACATTGAGATCCCATTTAGGAGGGCAAGAAGGCAGGGAGCAGCCCTGTGGAGATGAAGTTTTCTCAGTGATTCTGTGCTCCTTATGTGGCCTCTGAGCAGCTCAGGGCTCCTCTTCTCCTCAGGCCTCCCTGCTGGCTTGTAGAGGGCATTCCCCTTCAGACCCATGTGGAGGATCTCTCCAGTGTCCGAGGCAAGCATGACTCAGTGCTGGCCAGGAAGAAGCTGTCTTCTCTCCCAGGCCCCTGCAGTCAGCATTTCTAGTGGGTCACAGAAGAACAGGAACCTCTTTTATGGCATTTACTCCTGACTCTGCAGTCTGTCACCCTGGGACACCTGTGATCCTTGCCTGTCCCAAGAGAGGAGGCTGGAGTACTGGACATGATGGGTGGCATTGTGACTCATCATCCATTAGTTCAGGCAGAGGACAGAGAAATCAGTGAGACCACGGTTGTCCAGGGGAACTCTGGCCTCTCAGGGTGCTTGTATTGGGCTGAGCAGTGTCTTTTCCCTGTGAACTGGTGGTGGCAGCCCTGCTCAGCTGGGTCCTACCTTCCAGACTCCTGGCTGTTCCTTGCTGCCCTGAATGTTTAGTGGTTGAAAGTCACAGCAAGGGGTGTCCAACCTGGTATGTCAAAATGAGCACTGAGGCCAGGGTGGGCTCCTAGGACCTGGCCCAGGTGGTACAGAGTCAGGAAGCTGCAAACACTGGCCCTCCCCCAGCAGGTGCTCTGGAGACAGGTGCTGTCGGTGGGGAAATACAGCCCTGAATCTTGAGTTCTGAAAGGGCCTCCATGAGAGAGCCTGAGCTCCTGTCTGTATTCCTCCAAACCATTTCCATCATTACTTCCCTACTTCTGCCTTCACTCCTGACCCCCACCTTTTACCCACAGGAGCGGGACGGCATGCGGGCTATCCTGGGATCCTATGACAGCGAGCTGACGCAGGCTGAGTACTCACCCCAGCTGACACGCCGTCTGCGTGAGGCCGAGGACATGGTGCAGAAGGTGCATGCACACAGCACAGAGATGGAGGTGGGTCTGCTCACAGGGCTGTGGGAAGGGTGGGCACTTGTGCACCTGGTCAGGCCACTTTAAATCTTGTAATGTTACTGGGCTGTCAGAGGATCCCAGGAAGCTTTTGCCAGCAGGCCTGTGATGCGGGGAGTTATTGTAAGCTAACGCCTCCAGATGGATTTGTCACTTTGAGGTGGTCCTGGGCCTGGTCCACAGTTCTGTGGGCAGCTTCACTGACACTTGGAGAGGGGGTTTGGGCTGGGCTGCTGCATGTGGTTTCTCCTTGCTGTCTATTCTTGCCTTTCCCTGTCCTGGGGTTTCAGGTGCTCTGCAGTCCTCTTAAGTAAGGGCAGCTTATATCCTCTTTTCTTTCATTATCTTGTGGGTGCTCCCTGAAGTCTGTGTCTTCTTTTAGTGTCATGAGAGAGGAGGGAGAGTTCTGTTTTAGAAAAGTGTGATTTGCTCCTAAGGCCTATCAGGCCTCACAGCCCAATTTCTAGCTATGATCAGAGTATATACTAGGGACAGCTGGTCAGAGCCTCATAATGCTGTTCCTCCCTAGCTGGCTGAATAGTCTGGGGCCTAAGGAGGCCCCCAAGGCTTTCTTCAAATGACTCTCAGCGTAGAGGGAGAGGCGCCTGCCATTCCCTTCCCTGTCCTGCCCCGCTGAGGGAAAAGAGATTGTGGTGGGATCCTGGGCACAAAGCAGGGCTTCCTGGCTGCCAGGAAACTGCCACAGCCGCACGCACTGACACTGCTGGTACTACTGTGCTCAGCTCTGAGCTTGTTGCTTCTGTTGTTCAATCAGACTCACTGCACCCTGCAGGCAGGAGCATGGAGTTGGGCTATGCTGCTTGCATCACTGTCGTAATTTTTCCCTCAAGGAAGATGAGGCCCAGGGGTGTATCTGAGTCCCTGAACTGCTGAGGGATGTGGTAAGATATGGGGCATAGATCAGCAGGCCCCAGCATTCTGGCTCTGCACTGCTGTTCTGCCCACCCTGAGTACGCTGGGTCCACGGCTTTGCAGTCCATGTATGGCCCACAAACACTTTTGTGTGGTATTAGTATTCTTTGATTAGATGCTAGCATGGTCTGTTATTCCATCTAGGCAGCTATCTCCACTCCCCACTTAGCCAGTTTGGGGTCACCTCTGATGTCCAATGTGAAGAGACAGCCTGTGATCCTCAGAAGAGCCAGGCTTGCTGTATGACCAGTTGCTCCTAGTGTTAGCCATTGTTGTAAGTACATGCCACCCAGCCCCTTCCAGGGAGCATCTGACAGAGCTTCTGTCCATTGGTGCTGAGCTGGGTGAGGGAGACATTTGATAAACAAGTATGTATTACTTAATGTGGTAACAGGTGCTGTGTTGTGGAAAGCAGGCTTGATTCAGATAAAGGAATGATCCAGGAGCTGCATGCCATTGGTTCTTGGGTTGTTATGATCAGGGTATGAGAGCAGTGTCCCTGAATGCCTAAGAAAATGCCTGGCATGTGGTAACACTGCTCCATGATGGAGTGGGGGCCTGGGCCTTTCTGCCTCTGGCGTATACTGAGGCTACACGGGAGCCAAACCATCGTTTTGGTTGCTTTGCTGTGCCCCTCCCTGCCTGGAGAGCAGCCCTCACTCAGCACTGTTGGCAGTGTGAACCTGTGAGCAAGGGAACTCCAGAAGTCCTTGCTGACCTGCAGCCTCCTACTTCTCATCAGTGTCCAGCTGCCAGAGAGGGGCCCGTTGGGGCCTGCTGAGAATTGCTGTGCACAGACCCTCTGAAAGGTTAACTCCAGCTGCAGTGAGTGAAATCATCATAAATATAAGTGCGCTAATAGCCATTTTATTACCACACACTTAGCTCCATATGAAATGTTAATGAAGAGAGATTTGCAGGGAAGGCTCTCTGACACCTTGTGTGTCCCTGGCATTTTTCACAGAGGTCCCGTCTGTGCTGGCCATATGCCCTCTATGCAGGTTCGCATGAGCCTGGCAGCTTGGGCACAGCCAGTGCCTTATGTTCGGCTGTCTGCCCTGTAATCAGAACTCGATTAGGATATACTTGCTGCACAGGGGCTTTGCCACCACCCTGCTTAAGGGGTGTGTGTTGGAATCCCTTCTCTATGGTGAGACATGAAGACTACAGGTTGTTCCCTTTCTTGTCTGTCTCCTGGAGTTGGAGGAAAAATGTAGGTGAGGGCCCAGCTACTGCCACCACCATTCTTGCTGTTCCTCCCATCACTGTGGGCTCTATGGGGCCAGTGTGGGCATAGGGTAGGGACTGAGGAGATGCTTCTTCCCTCTCCTGGTCCATCAGGTCTGTTTCTCCGAGGTGCATGCTCTGAAGGCTCTCCCGGAGGCAGGCTCGTGCCTCTGACCTTCCTTCTCTGGACCTAATCTGCACCACCTCTCTGGGGGTGTTAGGACCAAGACATTGCAGAAAGTCCTACTGATGGTTCTCTGCTGTCCTTCTGCCCCTCCTGGCCTGTCTGCCAGTCATCACCTGTGGCTTCATGGCCTGCTGCCTCATCTCCTTGAGGGTGGGTCCAAGAGTTCTTGTCTTGAGTGGCTGGCTTCATTACCTTCAACGGGAGCCTTCCCATCTCAGTGTGCTACTACCTGGGAAGAGGTAAATAAAGCTCAGGGTGGCAGCCTCAGCCTTAGTGGAGTAGCATTGGACTCCACAGGACTGGAAAGAATCCTGCCCAGTGCCCTGGATCCTTTCAGGGTAGAAAGCTGCGAACCTTCTGCCTCCACCAGGTGGCAGCAGCAATGCCCACAGTTTACTTCTGAGTGCAGGGAAGGCCAGCCTGGTGCTGGAAGCAGCCAAGTCCTGGGAAGGCCTGGCTTTGGGTGAGGATAAGAGCCCCACTGCTGGAGGGGGGGAGGGGGCGGTCTGCTGTGGAGGGAGTGTGAGAAAGGTAGAGTTGATCCTTTTTCTTGACTCTCTTGCTCATCTCCAAGGACTTCTTGTCTTCTCCCCTGTCTTGGGCCTATACTAAGGAGAAGGATGCCCTCTTCCTCCTCATTCTTCCTCCTCATCCGACTGCCCCTGACCCAATGTCTATAGAATCAGAAGGTAGGGAGCACCCTGTGCAGTGAGGGGTGGGTGGGAGTGAAGCTGGACACGAGGGGCAGAAGGGGAATGTGCTGCCTCTGGTGTAGGCTTGGGTGGGCTGGCAGGGTGGAGCCACCTGGGCAGCACCTAGGAGACTGGTGTGGGGCCTTGGGACCCTGATGATGCCAGAGGGGTCCCAGGGTAGCACTCTGCCAGGCTCATCACTACCTCCAATTGGCAGACTTTCCTGTTCCTTCCTTGGTGTCCTCCCTATACTTTCCCTCTTAGGTGAACATGTTTACTCAGCCATGGGAGCTACCCAGTGTAGAGACCTACTTCCTGCCCTGGGCCTGAGGACTGCACTTGTAGCTGGCCTGGCCTTGGGGACCATGGGAATAGTGGGAGGGCATGTGTCCTGTTCGAGGAGGCTGCTTAGAGTGTACTAATAGGCAGGAGTTGGACTAAGCAGCCAGGGAGGCTCAGCCCCTAACGGACCCCACAGTCCACAGTGGCTGGATGCTGGCCTGGGCTGCAGGCTCTGGGCCAGAGGCCTGGGAGACTTTGGCAGTGGGCTTTCCATTGCTTATTAAGCAGTAAGATTTCACATATTAGATGCTCTCTTAACTGTGCACACTTGGAGAGCTTTAAAAGCTATTTCATGCTGCCTGCCAGGAGTTTATTAGTTGAGCATCTTGTATTGACACAGTAATACAAGTCCTTTTTGAAGATCCTTTAGTGACTCCCAGACAAGTGAGCATCTCTTGTGACCAAGATGTGAGCACCTTCTAAGTCACAGCAGCTTCTGCTGTGTGGCAGAGAGGCCAAGGGTGTTGGGTGAGATGTTCTACTATGCAGAGCAGGCTGTACAGCTGATTCACTGTCAAAGGATAGAAGATTACCCCCACCCCCACCCCCAGCCCCCACCATGGTCTAGAATAGGGTCCAGGAACCTTCTTTTTAGCCAAAGGCTAGATACTTATAACATCATTGCAGGAGCCATATAAATTTACCAATACAGGTAGACAGTCACAGGCAGCGAATGAAAAGCATATGTATCTGTCCTATCACATACCAAATGACTTTGTGGGCCTTACATGACTGGGGCTGGGTGTTTCTCATTCCTGGTCTAGAAGGAGGACTCCAGGACAACAGGTAGAAGGATAAATACTCCTTGCCCTGTGGTTCCCAGTGCTCTCTTGTCTCCCACCTCACCGATTTTACTTTTTTTCCCTAGTCTTCTTCCCTTTCCCTCTATTTGTCTGTACTCCTTTTCTGTCTCCAGATTGCTTTCTTCTGTTCTCTCTCCACTATCCCTCACCCTCAAGCTCCTTTCTTCTCCCTCCTCAGTAGGCAGGCTTCTCCTGTGAGCTTGTGTGCTCCCTCCTGGGAGCAGGGCAGGCACGGGCTACAGGACTGGCTGCAGCAAGTTGGAATTCCTCCTCCTTCGCAGTGCCATCTTATCTCCCTGTTTACCTTCCTCCATCTGCTTTGACTGCAGCAAAAGCATTTCAGCAAAACAAACTGGAGATGTTGCTGGGAGAATCCCAGTGGCCCATCTCTGGTAAGGTCTGTGCCATTTTGCACAGATTTTATTTATTCCACTTAATAAAGCGGCTGAGGAAGTTCGTAGCAGATGTCTCGATCCTATCGATGGAGCTATAAATATGAGCGCATGGCACCTTGATTCCACACATCGGCCTGATTTGTTTCCAGTTTATTTAATTAAAACCGATTACAGTTCTGCTGGCTGTGTGATATGTGGAAAACCCCAATTTCACATTGCAGTAGATATAGAAAATTTCTACTTCAGCTTAGGAAAACTAGGCCTTTCCATCTTCTCCCTTCCTCTCTACTTCCGTGGGGCTCAGATGGCACAGTCTGTTCCTTAGTTCTTTATTCGCTCACAAATGTAAGTGCCTACTGCTCTCCTGTATAAAGAACATGAGAAGGTGGCACTGGGCAAAGCATGGTGCAGCACCCTGAAACCTAGAAGTACTGGAGACATGGGCACAGGGCTGAGTGGTAGAGAAGACCAAAAACATTGGGGTCAGGGCAGCCTCCATGTATGAGCTTGGAGATGGCCCACATCCTCAGTGTGAAGTGGAAGGCTTCCATGCATCCTGGGGACCTAGTGACCTCCATGGCCAGCAAGATGGTGTTCAAGTGTGGTGCTAGTCCTTTCCTACAGGACAAGGGGGATCCTCCATGCCACCTGTGGGAAAGACACTAGCTGCTATGTGTTGCCTGGCCAAGTTCTTCACATGCCTTCCTGTAGTTTTGCACAACAGCTCTGGGAGACTGATTGTATATGAGGCCATTTTGTAGATGAAGGAAATATAATTTTTTTTATTGTAAAGATACTATATGGGAGCTGGGAAGTTGGCTCAGTGGAAGAGTGCTTGCTTCGCATGCATGAGGCCCTGGGTTCGATTCCTCAGTACCACATAAGTAGAAAGAAAGCCAGACGTGGCACTGTGGCTCAAGTGGTAGGGTGCTAGCCTTGAGCTGGAGAGCTGAGGGACAGTGCCCAGGCCCAGAGTTCAGCCCCCACGACTGACAAAAAAAGATACTGTACAGAGGGGTTACAGTTATATGAGTAAGGTAATGTATACATTTCCTATTGAGCATTGTTACCCTCTGAAGGAAATATTTTTGTTTCATTTTTGTTTTTTGGTTGGTCATGGGGCTTGAACTCTAGGCCTGGGTGCTGTCCCTGAGCTCTTCAGCTCAAGGCTAGCTCTCTACCACTTGAGCCACAGTGCCACTTCCAGCCTTTTCTGTTTATGTGGTGCCAAGGAATTGAACCCATGGCCTCGTGTATGGGAGGCAAGCACTCTACCGCTAAGCCACCTTCCCAGCCCCTGAAGGAAATATAGCTGATAGGTAGAGACACTGGGATTTTGCATTCTTGTCATTGTGGCTTTAAATTGAGTCTCAGACTTGAGCACCATTTATTGCTGGGCTGGTTGGAACAAGAGTTTTCAGGGCCCCTCACTCAGCATCTCCAGTTCAGTATGTGTAAACTGGGGGGAACTCTGTAGACCCTACTCAGCCCTGGGAGCTTCTTCCTTGGGTAGGACTACCTTAGTATTTAGCTGAGCACCAGGCTGTATTTGCTGCCTGCTTACCAGTCAGTCCTCTCTGTGGCCAGTGGGAGCTGAGGGTGTTTTAGGCACTGTCCACCAGAGATGCTTCTGCATATGTTCTCATACTTCAAGGCCATTGTCCAGCAGAAAGCACAGCTGAGCTTCTGGCACTCAGAGGCCCGAGGAGACCTCTCTCTTGGGATGCTGGCTCTGCCATCTCCTCCTTTTTGTCACATTATTACAAACCCATGTATGGTAGACCAAGGAGGTAGGCTGCTGGGGTGCAAATCTCCTCTTCTGTGCTAACTATGATCTCAAAGGGCACTGCCTGCTTGGGCTCAGCCTCCAAGTGGGACTTGTGCTCCACTCTGAGGGTCCTCCCTGCCAGTCTGTCTCAGTGTAGCACAAGCTGCCACCGATGCCTTCCAGATCTTTGCAGCTTTCTATCCCAGACTGTGCCTGCCTGCAGTTCCTCTTGCCACGTCCTGGGCTTGCTGCGTGCTGGCAGGGGTGCTAGATCACCAGGCCACCACTTCACACTTCAGGATAAAAATAGCCCTGCTGAGGTCTTGGTGCAGCGTCTACGTGTCCAGAGCTTTTGTCTGATCTCATGCAGGCTCCAAGGCCCTGCTGGAGGACACACGGCCAGTACTGCATGTGTTTTTGCAGGGGCCACATTTGACATGGTGTTGGCTTTCTGTAGACAACCCTCACCCTGAGAGGAACTCACAGCCTCACCATCCTTGAGCCTGCTTGATTGCCCCTCCAGAGACTGGATGGTCCTGACCTTCCTGCTCCCAGCCATGACTTGGATCTGGGGCCCAAAGACTACTTGACTTCCTCTTTACTGTTTGACAGAGTTGCTGCTTCACACTTCCAGCCCTGGCCCAGCTATAAGGACTCCAGTATTTTCCCTGGGGCCTCTTCTTCTCTGGCTATGGCCTTGAGGCTAGGCCCTATTTTCTTCACTGAAGCAGCATCTTGGGCAGAGCCAGGAAGATGCACAGCATGAGGGATGGGGTATGAGGGAGACTTGCATGTAGAGACTTGCTGAGATGTTTGAGCCAGTCATGGCTGACAGGGAACTGCTTCCAGGGCTAAGATACCATACTCTTTATTTTTCTGCTTAGAAGACAGCCTGGCTCTTGCAGGAAATCTCAAGGCAAAGGCAAGAGTAAATAGTCTGGGCCACACACAGTTGCTCACCCCTATAACCCTAACACTTAGGAAGCTGAGGCAGGAACAGAGGTTGGAGGCCAGCCTGAACTACATTGTAATATTCTCTCAACAAAAAGCCAAAGACTGTGGGGAGTTGGGGGTTGCAGGGGGTGGGGGAAGGGGTAGAACAGTGGCTAGAGCACTTTTCTGTTGTGTATAAGTCCCTGGATTCAATCTTCAGACTTGGGAGGGGGATAGAATAAAAAGAAGCTCTGTTTCTAAGGCACAGGACCTAGACCCATGATGGAGTCCACAGATGCTCTGCAATGAGAAAGGCATCAATAGCACTTCAATCCCACACTGCCACTGGGCCTTCCCACTCTGTCCTCTGATGACTGCCAAGTCATCACTTCTCCTGTCCCATCATTGGGGAGATGGCCTTGCCTCGTCTATTCTATCTGAGGACGAGTATGGTATCTGATACAACCATTCCTCCCAGGTAGAACCAGGACTGAGCATTCTTGGGCAGACCTACAAGTTGGTTGGAGTGAATGTTTTGTGTTCAGGCCTGGGACTTCAAGAAATCTGCTATTCAGATGTGGCTCCAGTGACAGACTAGGCCACAGTTGGGGGCATAGACATGACAAGGATGGGCCCAGGGCTCATTCGCCATTGGCAACTCATCTCTTCTGTTCACCCAGGCCACATGGAGACCCCCTCTGCTGCTTCAAGGCTAGAGCTACCCAGTGTTGGGGCATTACATGGTGCATGACACATATCACTATCCCACTGTCCTGCTATGACCCGGTGATCGGGAGTTGGTAGAGATTGCTAGAGCATGTCTTCCACTAGTTATGGATGAACTTTTCTGGGCCAGTGTTGGGTCAGGTTGGAGAAGGCAGGCTACCGGTGGCAGCGAGAGTATGCTTCATAGCTTCTGAGTCCATTCCTAGGGGTGGGATTACAGAGTTATCCTTTACACAGACACTAAAGTTTAAGGAAAAAATGGTTTTCTAGTTTTACTCCTGATGTCAGCATGGACAAGACTCAGTGATTTACATCCTTTCTAACTTGTAGTATTGCCAAGAGTTCTTAATTTTTGCCAACCACATGGTTGCAAAGTGGCATTTTACTGTTGGTCCTGATTTGCATTTTCCTAATTACCAGCCATGTTAATTACCTTTCTGTGTGTTTGCTGGCTGTTTGCGTTTTCTTTTCTGGGAGACGTCTGTTTGCTTCTTTGCCTCTGTGTGTGTGTGTGTGTGTGTGTGTGTGTGTGTTTTCTATTACTTAGAAGATATTTAGTGTCCTTGTGATGAATCAGGTGGAAGGGTATGGGTATCTGCCATGCACTCCCCTTGCATGTGAGATAGTGGAAGCATCCTTGATAAGCAGAGTGGAGGAGCTATATTGCCTCAAATGGAGGCAGGGGGGACTTGGGCCACTGAAGGTCTGTCGGGTTTGAGGGTGGCAGGGTGAGCTGAGCACAGAGCCCTGTGTCAGTGCAGGCTGGGTTTAAATTCTGCTTTTGTCACTGACTACTGACCATGTCTAGTTAGGACTTAGCTTTAGTTTCTTCTTCCTGAAGAAGGACCAATAAGAAAGCCCCTTCCCAGGAATTGGGGTGGGGGAGGTATGTTACACCAGCAGAGTCTCTGCACTCCTTGCCAGGAGGAGGGAGATACGGATGGTACTGTCTTCCGAAGGTTGACTTTGTAGGAGACAGCAAAGGGACATGTTTCACATCTCTTGTGGAGCTGTCAGTAGCAGGAGTCTGCCACCCTGGGCAGGATGGGTCCTACTGCTGTGTAGATAAACAGTTCTGTTTAAGCGATGAGCTTGCCAGGGAGTGAATGGACAGCCTAGGTCAGGACCTGAGACTGGCGGATGTTTCATGCCGGTGTAATTTCCTGCTTGCCTTAGCACCTTGGCAGACCCTATGATGGCCAGCACTGGGAGTGCATCCCGTCTTGATAGTTTGGCTAGTGAGAAGCCACCCACCTTGGCACAGCTGAGTAGCATGGGGCTGAATCGGACTTGTTCTGTGGTGGCCTCAGGTACAGTGGCCTCAGGAATTGCAACAGGGATTCTGAGGTAGTGAGTCATGTGTCTGGATTGTTCCATCCCTCTGGCCCCAGGGCTGCAGCCCAGATGTGTTTACAAGAACTCTTGGTCAGTGAGAGGTTCCTGTGCTCCACCCTAGCATGGTCTCCTCTGGTTCCCACAGTCAGGGACCTCTCATGCCTCTCTGCACTAAGAGCAGAGGAACTTGAGATTTCAGCCTGTATCAGCATGGCCTCCCTAATCAACTTTTACAGAATGTGAGCCTGTCAGGTAGAGGGGGACAGTTCCTTAATTATCAGAGTGCTGCAAGTCCCTCCTGGGGACCTCCCTTTCTGTCTGAGACCAGGCCCAGGGCTCAGGCTGGACTTGGGGTGGTCAGGTTGCTGCTAGGTCAGCTACCATCTCTAGACAGAGCCCTTTCCCTCCCATCACCCCAGGCCAGTGACAACTTGGCCCTGGCTGACTGGTAGCTGCTCTAAATCCAGACCCATTGACTCAAATGGGAGTAGAGGCCATGGGAGGGGGAGGGAGTCCCTTCCTTTTCTGGAGCCCTGGGAGGACATGTGGGTTGATCCTACCTCTGACCTTTGCCTTTTTGTCTTACAGGTTCAGCTGTCTCAGGCCCTGGAGGAACTCGGAGGCCAGAAACAGAGAGCTGATACAGTAAGTCCTGACAAAGCTTGCTTATTGCTTGTGACAAAAGGCAATCTGAGGTTTTGGCTGTCTAGAGTCCTGGATCTCAGACATGTAGGAATCCCAGTCCTGGGCCGGGAATGTGGCTTAGTGACAGAGTGCTTGCCTAGCATGCATGAAGCCCTTGGCTCATTCCTCAGGAATGAACCAAGTCAGAAGTGGTGCTGTGGCTCAAATAGCAGAGTGCTAGCCTTGAGCAAAAGAAGTTCAGGCACAGTGCCCAGGCCCTGAGTTCAAGTCCCAGAACTGACAAAAAATATTCCAGTCCTATTCCCAGCAGGACCTGTCATACAGGCAGTGCTCTTCTGTGATAGGAAGATGTGTGGAAAGGGCGTGGGTTTGCTATGGAGACTGGTTCTCCTTGCTCTGCTGTGGGATGGGGAGCTTGTTAGGACTGGAGGCATTAGAGGGCTGTTTGCTGTCCTCTTACTAAGTGCTAAAGTCCATTCTTATCTCCACTGGGACACGTCGCTGTATCATCAGTGTGGTGGTGGTGGTGGGGGGGGGTTGGGGGTCAAATTACATAAGCGGAATCCAGGGCAAGATATCCACTGGTAGTGGGTGCTGAAGGTAGCACTGTGGAGAGAGGAACAGGTACCTGGGGCCAGTTCGCAAGGAGCCTTGAGTTGAGGCTCCAGTGAGCTCAGTGGGTAGTACGGGCAGAAAGCAGAGACAGTAGGTTCCAGAGCTAGGACTAAAAGGGACTTGGAGGATTCTGGGAACCATGAGGTTTGGAGTTCAGGAGGTAGGGATTGGGTTCAGCTTCAGGAAAGGTGGCTGCAGGAACATGAGGGTGGGACATGAGGTAGTGGTGACATTCTGGCCTGGGTAGGCACCATGAGTTTGGAAGGAAGGGGCATCTTAGGACATCTTAGTGGACTCTGGGGCCAGCCCCTTGTGACGGGCCACTGGTCCAGATGTGCTCTTAGTTTATGGTGGTGCTTTCATCCCTGGAGAAGTGAGCCCTTTCCAGAGTGCACCTGCATGCAGGCATCAGGTCTCTGTAGCAGAACAATTGCCCTGCCAGGAGGGGCTGTCAAGGGATCATGACCCTTGAGTCTGGAGTAGGCATCTTCTCTCTGGTCCTTGTCAGTGTGGCCAAGGGCAGGCCAGCCCAATTCATTGGTCTGTAGAATGGACATCCTTATGCAGGAGTCAGCTCTGAGGGCTAGGAAAGTGGCAGAAGCAGAACAGCAAGCTCAGTCTCAGAAAGATTTGCTGTATCCTCAGTTGGCAGATGGCATGCTGTTGTGCTGAGGGGTCCTTCCAGGAGGCACAGGGGTGGGGCTATTGGTAGGATACCAGGGCAGCTGGGTACCAGCACAGGTGGCCACCTGTCCTTATCCTCCTCTTCCAAAGGGGTGAGGGGGTCAGCAGCAACAGAACAGAAGCACTGCTGTAGAGGTGCTTGGGATCTGGCAGCCGTTGAAGGTGTGAACTTGAGGCAAGCTGGGCAATACTGCCTGTTGACCACACTCAGAGGCTTTCCCTTAGGTACAGAACAGGTGATTGGTGGTACTGGCTGATGAGAAGATAGGAGGGGGAAGGTGACCCTGGGATTTGGCAGTAGAACCGGCTATAGGACAGTGTGTATGCCAGTGCGGTCATGTTTATGCATGTGCGCTGTCACTCTAGGCTGATCAGGTTTATCTTTAGGTAGTAGGAGCACTTGTTGGCTCTTGTTTGCTCTCTGTGTTTTCTGCAGGGAGCATTCAAGGGCACCAGTCACACTGTGTTATTTCATGCAAGGTCTGAGGTTCAGCTTCAAGCAGTTGTCCAGGATAGTCAGCACCATGACCTGAAAGAGGTCAGTCTGGGTGGGGCAGAAGCTTAGGTGGACCCAGGTTTGTCTGCCTTCAGTGAGCAAGAGGGGTTCTGTCTGCTCTAGTGCCCCTTGTTTCATCTGCACAGTGCTGGGCATGAGGCAGCCAGTGAGTACAACAGACAGCTCAGCTTCTCCAGGATATTGACTCATGTGCCTCGTCCTCTTGCCCTCTGGCTCCTTCAGCCAATGGCTTCTTTCATGGTAACTTGGAGGAAGCTGGGGTTGAGGGATTTTTCTCTGAGGGCGGTGCATCCATTTGCAGAACCCCACGAGACACTGATGTTCTGTGTGTCAACATGCATGGCTTCCTTGGTGTTGACCTGAATTGAAATGTGCCCGAGGGCCTTGTTTTCATAATGTTCATGAGGCCAAAGAGGAATTAGAAATGAGTTGTGTGAAGCACATGCCAGGCCCGTGGCTTTATGGCTGAGCAACTTGCCAATTGCCCTCAGCTGTCCTTGACTTTGCAGTCCCATTTTCGACAGAAGCTTGGACACCTTGACCCTGACCCCCACCATCTCTCTGCTTTCTCTGCTGCCATGTGAGGAGAAACTGCTAGTCCTGGGTCCTTTCTGTGGGGTGGGAGGAGTTGGTCTTGAGCACTTTGGTCAGGTCAGATACTGGACAGCGCCCTGCACCTTGTCATGGGGACTGTATGATGCACCTAGTGGAACACAGCCTCAGATTTTGCTGGTTCTCCCCATCTCTGTTTCTTGTTTGGAACACCTGGCTCCCAAATGATTGACAGAATTTTGGAGTCTGGCAGAATTGTGACTTCTTGCAGGTGGCTCTGGAGTTAGCCAGGTAGGCCCCTGGTTCTAGGCCTAACAGCACAACCTTCCAGCAGAGGCCTTGGGAACCATGATCAGCCAGAGCTTGCAATGAATGTGTTTGTCTACCCAACCTGTGGAGATGGAGACCAGCAGGTTTCACAGAGCCAGTCCCTGAGCTGACATAGCCACAACCTCTCTGTCCCTCTGATACTTATAGACTGGACACTGGCCCCTCTGGTGCACCTTCTCTAGGCTTGTTTAGGGCTGAGCCATAGCCGTCTCTACAGGTTCCTAACCTGCCCCCCAATTGCCCAATCTTTAGCTTATTTCATGTTGTTTATTTCACTCTGTCTTCTCTTTCCCAGTTAAAAGGATAATCAGAAATGGCAGTGCCCTGGGGCCAAGGATGTTGTCTGTTACATCTGTCCTTTCTGCCGATGCTCCCATGCTCAGGATATCTTTGTTGGTCAAGCAAGTTCTCTCCCTGACCTTGCAGAGGGGATGGGGGCCTGGGTCTTGGGTTCCTAGCAAGTCTGTGCTCAAGTGAGACCCTGCTCTTATTTATTTGTTGGCTTTGGCTGAATCTTGACTCCTCACCTGCAGGGCTGACCCCAACCAGCTTGTTGAGTCCCAGGACTAGGCAGCACCATCCTGTGGAATGGTGAGCCTTATGCAGTGTCTTAGGTGTTATTTGTAGTCCAAACCCAAAACTGAAATTCTAATTTGAGGTTTTCAATTTTGGTTCCCTTAAGTAAGCCATACAAGTGGTGTTCTGGCTCAAGTGTTAGAGTGCTAGTCTTGAGCTGAAGAGCTCAGGGATAGTGCCCAGGCCCAGAGTTCAAACCCACGACTGACCCAAAAAAAAAAAAAAAAAAAAAGTAAGCCACACATAGCAGGTGGCCCTACATTGCTTGGGCCATCAGGGTAATTGACTCTCAGAATATTCTGTATTCCTTCTCCAGAATCCTGCTCAGGGACTGCCTTCTCCCTCCTGCCCTCCCAGGTCTGCTGCTGCTGATTTCCTCCACCAGAGCATCTCTTGTCTCATGTTAGAGGAACCAGAGACAGAAGGGGAAAAGTACATGCAGAACAACTCATGTTTGGGAGAGCTGGTGGCCTCTGGTCTGCCTCTCAGCCCTCCCTCCTATGGGGCATGGGCACTGTAGAGTGGGCTCACTAGCCAATGACACCTCAGTCCTGGGAAGGGGCTCAGGCAGACTTCAAACAGGGCATCCATGGCTCACTTGCCTGCTCCCCTGGTCTGCTGTCTTCTCACTCAAAGTGAGTTCATTAGGAGGAGAAAGAGAATTTAAATATCTTTAGCTAATTGCAGATGACAGGACAAAGGCAGTTTGACTTTCTGTTATTAATTAACAAACCCACACTAATTAGAAAGCATAAGTATAGTTCATGCTTTCTTCTTTAAATTCAATTAATATCACAAGGAAAGATGTCCTGGGCCACACTTGTGTCATTAACATACCTCACCCTAATTAGATGTGGCCAGCACTGGCTGTAGAAATGAGATTTTTGATTACAACTATAAAAAATCCTCGAATGTTTTATATACTTCAGGGAATGAGAGTGAGAATTTATTTTCTGATTTAAGTGGCATTGTGCCCTCACAGCTTGGTGTAATTAAGCAGTCATTTTCCCTGAATCCCATTTCCCCCTGATGGTTTCTCCTCATCTGGCCCTTGCCACCAGGGAGCTCTATGCCATAGTCTGCTGAAGCAAGGGCCTGGCCAGGGTGGGGCTGTCCATTGCCTGCCCTTCTCTTCTATCTCTGACATGGATGTGATAGTGGCTACATGTGGGACCATCACTGCCCTTGAACAGTAATGAGTGCTTCATAGATTCCCAGGGTGATGATCCATGAACCAGACAAGGCCCCATGCCTCACATGACGAAGGGCTGGACTCTGAGGATCAACTTTGATCCACATATGATCCCTGGTTTTCTATTAGCCTCTTGGAGCCCAAGTTTCTCAGTAGGAGTCAGGAACTGTGTGCTACTTGACCAGGCTCAGACCTCAATGCTGCTACTGAGCAAGGAGCTTGGAGCAGAATAGAGCTCTTTGTTGCTGGCAACCATTGGCAGAGGTCTGCTGCCAGACTCTTCAGACTATGAATGTGTCCTAAGCAGGTCTGGGGGAAAGTCTGAAGTCTTGGGATGGTGGCTTCCTGCCATGGAGTTACCCCATGGCCTGATCCTTGTGTCATTAACATACCTCACCCTAATTAGATGTGGCTGTCGTTGCTGTCACTCTGCCATTTCCCCTCTCCTCCCATCTTGCTATAAGTGTATACCAGGCATCCAGGTCCCTGCTTGAGAAACGGAGATGGACATCATGCTGAGTTGGCTTGGGTGGG